AAACAAAGAGTACTTGAAACGTTTTGAAGATTATAGCTAGTCATCGCACTTTTATAAGTGAATAAGTTAGTGAGTGATTGAGGGCCCATGTTATTTAATTATTTATACATCATTTTTGCCTTGGCTTTCTTCCTTTCTACTCTTAAGTGTCTTCCAGCCCAATGCTTGCAATGCTACAGAATGATCTGTGTCATTTCTCATATTCGTGATAATTCCAGCAGCTCTATTTTGGAGTTTTTGAAGTCGTTTTGATTGTGTTTCACTGAACACATCCCATACTTCACAGCAGTAATCGAAGTACGGGCGAACAATAGCATTATAAACAGAAAGAAGCGTTTGCCTGTCAAAAAAATCCTTTAAACGTCTAAGAGCAGAAATTCCTGATGTTATTTTCCTGCAAATATTTTCAGTGTTACTTTTCCACGACAAATGCTGGTTGACTGTCACACCAAGAGTTTTGCACTCATGCACTTGTTTAATCTGTTTGTTTTCAAATTACCACATTTATTTGAACACAAAATTTGGCCTGGGGATGTTTTGGCCTGGGGATGTTTTGACCTGGGGATGTTTTGACCTGGGGATGTTTTGACCTGGGGATGTTTTGACCTGGGGATGTTTTGACTGGATACTCAATATTAAATATTAAAATACACAGTACAAAATGGAGTTTCAAAATGTGAAGTGTTTCGCTGTCTTGAGTTCTCTTGGCTGTTCAATCCCTTTAAATTTAATACAACCAAATATCTGGACTTTACTGGTTGAGAAAGAGAATTGTCTTTGTGAGGTGGTGCCTTGAACTGGGCTTACCAAAGTTAACAACTGCCTTAGAATATATCTTGCCATAAGATGACAACCTCAGGTTTAAATTTGTGTTTGCAACATACTTCAGCAGGCACAATCTGTGGTCTTCAGTTGGCATTTCATTAACTGCTGCAGGTAGATGGTAGGGAGGTAACAATTCCGGTTTTTCCTACCCAAAATACCTTTACACTTATAAGACCATCTTGACATAAAGTCTCTCACTGATGTTAATTTGGTCAAATGTTTCATTTGAAACATATAGGACAAAGAGGTATTCTGCATATTCAACAATGGAAACGACCAGCTTTGAGGGTATATGCAAGGACCCTTTATTCAGGAAGTGTGTGAGAGCCAGGTGAGATCTCTCTTGATATGGAGCTTGGTTGTAATCATGTTCATAGTGGTTGGTACAGATGAATCCACTTGTTAGACTTTCAATACATGTTATGCATTTTATTTGCTTCAATAACATCTTCACCACAAGACCAGCGATATAAGTTAATATGTTTGCCTTCAGTTCTGTAGGCTGTTGGAAGTCCACTTGGGAGATTAATCTGTCCAATCTCTCATTGTGCTGCTCTGTGGATGAATCTTCATTTCCCTCCTATTCATTTGCTGTCTTGGCTAATGGTGTGGCATTCTTTTTTGCATGGAAGAATGGGATTATGGAGTTGTCATCAAGCAACTTGCAGTTTTCGATGCAGTCACAGCGTTCCCAAGCACCAGGCGTCTTACTGCAGCTGTGAACTGCAATACATTTGGGTTGTTATTCCATCCTCCTTTTGCTCTAATGCATGAAAAGAGGAGCTCGATGTGGTCTTGTGAATACTTGTATGTTAAAACATACTTGAAGGGATCTTGAGGCAAGGTGAGCATCTGTTTGGCCATCTCAGTGGTTGATTTGATGGTGATAACAAATCCAAGGATAAAGGTCTTCCTTCTATGGCTGATGAGCAGCTGCCCCGAACTTGACTTGTGGTTAAGCAGGTACTGTGCTGTTGTTTCTAATGCATTTCCCCAATGTGGAATGTTGACCTTCTTCAGTGGTTGTTTAAACCCTTTCCCATGAGGATTTCTTGAGTTAAGAGTGTCAAATAGTCTGTCAACAATCTTTATAAACTTGACTGTTGCTGCACTCCCTTCAAATTCACTCGTTTTCATGATTTTATCAAGAAACTCAATAGCATCTGCGACAGATGAGCTAAGGGTTTGAGCAGCAAGGCTGACATTCATCTTGTGTCTTTGGAACTCGATGTGCTCTGTGGAGATCTTGTTGGCGAGCTTGAGTCCCTCATGCTGCTGGACTTGATGCAGGTGGCAGAGGTGTTTCCATTCAATCTTTTCTTGAAATAAGCCATGGAATGACCCGAGAAAAGTCAAAGAATTGCAAGCTAGCTTCAGCATATGGCAGCCATCTAAAATGGCAAAAACATCATCGCCAGTTGATGGATGGGGAAACTTGGTGACAATGGAGTCATAGGAAGTGCCAAAACTACACCCGAGATTCTCAAACATTGCCAAATTTGTCGTTGTCCTATCACATGTTATGCACCAGATCTTCAAACCATGCTGATGTGCCATAGTGAGTGCTGCTTTAATAAGAGATGCTTGGACAGATGCTGTTCTCTTGTCAGTGAAAAAATAACCAATAGGCATTTTCCAGTGGCTTCGTAATCCCACTAGTTCAGATGTTAGTGCTTCAGATGCTAGTTTTTTAGTTGGCTCCAGCTGTATACCATTTCCGTAGTCTACAAAACCTGTGTACTACTTCTTCGCTTTATCCCAGATTGCTTGTTTCCTTATTGACATAGCATCAATCACCAAACAGCAATCTTTCTTATCATTGTTACTCTCACATTCTTGTTGGAGCGTTTCAAATGCCTCGGTAAGAAAACCAGGTTCACAGTTGATGTCAAAGGTAGTGTTTTCTATATACGTAGGTATAGGCTTTCGCAGAGTAATACTGTATAAATGTTACAGCAAATTCTTTCACTTCATTAGAGTATCTCCTTCCTTTTGCTGCTCTCTTGGAATTTTTCATCACATTCTTGAGCTAATTTATATACATTATAAATTTAAGTTAATGGGCAATGCTGTCCACAAATTTAGTCTAATTTATATGAGAATCGATTTGAATATTTTGCGTGCGGTACAAAGGTCACAGACCCACATCTGGCATTTGTATCAAAGGTCATCTTTGTATTGGCAAAGCGTACACATGCACATCTCATGACCAATTATCTTTCAGCCAATCAAAATATATCTTTGATGGCATCAAAACATGTAACCAATCATAATTCGGTTAAACCAGTGAAATAGACCAAATACACCTGATGTTACAAAGAGCATGCGCATTAAGGAACTTATGAACATCCCACAATCATTAGTGTAAAGTTAGTCATGTAAATATGTAGATATGTGTGAATAAATAATTGTATTTTCGTGTGACTTAAATCGTGGTAACAAATGGTCCTTCAAACCGGATCCGAATCTCTTTGGTAGTGCAAGAATTATGTCTCGAGGGAGTGCCGCGGAGGCGCAAGTGGTCTCTGGAGACCAGACAACTGGAACTGCTGATGATGAGCTGCCGAATAAAGAAGAGCTCGAGATAGCTTGGCATATTGCTAGTCGCAAAACAAGCAAGAGCAAATTTACGAAGATCAGAAATCGAATTCTTTCGTTAGTGGAAGATGCCTCCGCTTCGTGTCGTGAGGTAGAACAGTTTTTCGC